TCTTTTTATCTTGTTTCGGTCTAATTTCCCTGTTATTCTCTCTTTCTCGGTCTCACTCTTTCGTTTTTCTATTTGTTATCCTTCACGCTTAAATTGTTTTCTATCTGTACCTTTTTCCTTTTTTTTTTTTTTCCGCTCCCTTCTACTTCACTCTATTCGTCCCTGTTTCACTCTCAGCCTCTCAACTCTCTCCTTGTTTCCTTCTTCTTCTTCTCGCTAGGTTTCTACTCACTCTCTTTCCTCTTCCTATCTCCCAAAATCGCCTTCAAAAGTAAACCAAAGCTTCTGTTTTCACTCCCTTTCTTTACAAACTTCCCTCTGAGCTCACTCCCTCTCTTTCTCACTGATTTCGTCTGAAAATCTTCTCCGAAGTAAACCGAAACTTCTGCTTTAACTCCACCGTTCTTCACAAGCTTCTCTTTTGCCCTTTAAACCCTAGCCCGTTCCTCTTATGTTTGAAAACCCGAGGAAGAAAACATAAAAGAAGGTCCTTCAACGGCGCCGTTTTAGGGATGGGAAAAGGCTAGGTTTTGAGCCGGGTTTTGACTTTCTAGGCTTGGGTGTCTTAAATGGGGTTTTTTAATTTGGAAAGAGAATTTAATTGAAATAAAAATAAAATGGCTTGAAAAATAGTGCAAGCACAAAAAGGAAATTGAGATTAAGTTTTGAAAATGGAATATGAGTTCTAAATACAAAATGGGTCATACCTAATAATAATAATAATAATATAATAATAATTTTATTTTTTTCAAAATTCAATAAAAATTAAACTATATAAAATTAAGGTATCATAAAATTACACGATTGTTTGGTAAGAGAAGTTGCATCATATCAATATAACTAACAAAAGATTCATTATTCAGTAGCAAAATGAAAGAAAATCAAATACGCTTAAATGCTCCAACACGCATATGCACACTCCTTAAGTTAACATACTTAGTGAATTATGTCTAAACTGAAATATTTTTCACTCTTTGCATAGATTTCACTTTTATACAAATAAATCATACAAGTATATAATGAAAATATTACAATTTAAACATGTGTTAAGAAACAAAAATATCAATGAAAAAAATACTGTCAAATCTTTTTTAGTCTTACAACTAAGGAAATAAACACATTAACATTTCTCTTAGAAAATTATATATATATACATATCATTTAGTCACTTATTCATGGTAGAAACAACTAAGAGTGTGCATACATGAACATAAAAGAATTTAATTGTTAAACAGAACTCAAATCTTAATCATGTTATAATTTTAGTTGTTAAACCGAAACCTACTCTTCTTCTCTTTCTTTCTCAAACAATAACGGCCGAGAATGAACACCTTAGAAGTCTCTCCCTTGTTCGCGTCGGCCAACCAGCCGAAAAAAGCTACCTCTCAGAAGCTCTGCTCAGGTTCTTCTTTAATACGTGCGAGGTCAAGATGGAAACCTGCAGTTCTCTTATTCTCCATATGGATTCTGATCTAGAAAAAGAGAAGCGGAAGAAGAAGAGGTCAAAAAAGAAAATATTACTACAACAACACGATTACAAAGCCCGCCAACGGTTGTGTAGTAATTGAATATTTGGATTAAAAAATTCTTATATTTATATATATATGTATATGGTAATAATAATAATATATAAACATAATTATATGGTTGGGGAAAGGAGGAGAAAATGGTGTCGTTTGGAGAAGAGGAAGATAAAACGACGTCGTTTAGAGAAGAGGGAGTGGATGGATGGGATGAGATGGGATGGACGGGCAGGATGAGAGGTAGATGGAATATAAATAGGAAAAGAAAAAGAAAAGAAGGAAAGAAAAAGAAACAAATAAGAGGAGACGGGGAAGAGAAGGTTCGAGAGAGAGAAAAGCTAGAGCGGGAAGAAACAAGAAGAGAGAGCAGGAGAAAAAAAGACGGTGACGTGCGATCTATGGAAGTACAGAAAAAAGAAAAGGCGATTTGAGGTACGGTAAAATTTAAGTTTTAAGCGTATGATGAGGATGAAATGTGGAGTTGTGATCCTAGGTTTTGAGGAATATATGAACCGCTTAGGAAATGGAGTAGGAAACTAGGATAGATGGAATAAGAGAGTGGAAAGAGACGGTGAGTCCGTGGAAATGTGGATTTGAATTATGAGTAGAGGAAAATGGAGGAAGCCGCAGGAGGAGAGGTTAAGGAGTTCGGTGAGTGAGTGAGTTACCGTTAAAGGGAGGAATACAATGATTAAAAAGGTGCAAGGGAGTTCGTAGGGAGGTAAGGTGATTTAGAGTGACTTGGGACGGGCAGAACATGCGTAGATTGAAGCTGAGGTAAATGAATAGGAGGTAAGAGAGGTATAGAGAGGGGAACGGTTAGAGGTAGAATGAGTACAGGAGGTTAGTAAGGGAGGAGCTGAAAGAGGAAGATAGGGAGAGTTAATGTGCTGTGAGAGATTGATACTGTTAGGAGGAAAATGAATAGAAGCCGAGACAAACGAGGAGAAGGGAAGGAAGGGATGGAGAATGGATTGGTTACTAACAGGGAGTGTAGGCATGTAGGGGTGGAGTGTGAGTATTTTAGGAATTAAGGAGCAGGAAAGGTAGGCCTGTAGTGATTGTGTGTGTGTGGAATTGGAATAGAGGTGTATTGGTGTAAATGTGTTGTGTGTGGGTGTGCGTTGCATGTGAATGTATACTGGTGTAGCTGCTGTAAATTTGGGAATTGTATAGGTGAGCACTCGGTGTAGGGGTGTAGTGGTGTATTTGTGCTAAGTGTGAGTATGTGTTGTATGGGGAGGTGTGTGTAGGTTCTGTACATATGTTAAAGAATTGGAGAGTTTCAGGACAATGTTGTTGGTGTAGGAACATTTTAGATTAGAATACTCGTAGTGGGGGTTAAGTA